ATGACATATATTTCGTAAGAGTATCTACTGTATGATATTTATACAAACAAGTTTGATTTAAATTGATACGTCTGGTCAATTTTATTTGTGGTAGGTCGTTATCCCTTCTGGTGCCGCTCCGTTCTTTAATTGTCATAAAATACAATCCTCTTCGCGAGATTTAAGCGCGTGCTCGGACGCCAAAAAGAAAACAACCGCCCCTTATTTTGCAACACCCGAAAAGCGATATTGGTTAGGGTGACCATTTGCAACAGTTCTGTAACATAAATCATTTTAAGCGTTTTATATTTAAAGTATTGGTTTTATGATGTCATTTTATTTCGTTATAATTATTCTTATAAGCTCGGTTTTGAAGTGTATGTGTAAATGGTACGTTTAAAAAAGTAACCATGTGAAGGTTACATTTCATCTGTTGATTGTTTGTCAAATAATTTTAAGAAGCTACAATTTTATACTTGTAAATACCGACAAATACGAGTAGCTTATTTTTTATCGTGTTGTACAATCGTACGTTTAGAGCGAATAAAAGTTTGTTAACTACACGTTTCTTGACCACGGTAGTTCCGTAATGTCCGTGGACGTGGTTAAGTTATGGTTGACCTCAAGGGTATCGTGTCCAGCCATCACACCTCCCAGATCGTTCCGAGTCGAAGTTGAGCGCGGTGGTCGCAATTAGGATAAATAAATGCTCCCGACATTCGATCCATCGCCTTTTCATCCGATTAATCGCTCGGAACGAAGGCGGTAATTCGATTTTAACGCGTCCCATTCCTTCAGTATTTTTATGTAGCACTTTGCGATGGTTTTCGATAGTTATCACGCTATCTCCTCGTGTGATTATTGCCTTTATGTGATAAAGAGGTGTTGGATTCGTTGGTTCGCGATGCGGTTTGTTTGTTTTTATATTACACTCATTTAACGTCTAGACGTGATCGGATAACTGCACGTTATTGACGTCATAAAAATTCTATTGCCTATGAAATATACTTTTTAATACTGAAATGTGAGTTTTCTCTAGAGACTTTTACCAGATATGGACTAGTGTTACCACAGAATTGTTTAAGAGCAGAACTTTGACCTCTCAAAATAATTAGTATAAAGTATTGGTTTATGTTCAATTTATTCTGGCTGTTGGCGGACAGCTCTGGTGACTTAATATCACTGACCACTCCCCGTTTTTCATTCCATAAAATAATATTAAGATAAAAAAGTTTTGATACCATATACACGTCGGTTTTATAAGTGATTATATTATATCTTTTTTCGAAACAAATTTATGTTCGAAACGATAAAGATATTACGTCTTAATTTTTATATCGACCCGTATGAGTTCCGAATCAACAATAGATTCTGGATCAGTAAAACGAGGCAGGCCTTTGTGATTCCAAAGCCCGCATACACGATACACTGGCCACATATCAATTATTTTGACACTAAGGATTACGTTTTAATGATTGCTCTCTTGACACTCGGTGTGTTAAGTTTAATGTCTTATTTGTAACGGCGAGTCGGGACAGGGGGATTATTCACGGTCATTGTGGTATTTACTATACAGTCGTTATTGATACCGACCTGTTTTGAAGTAATTCATTACTTTCGTTATACACACTATTCTTGTTACTGTTCAATTTGTTTATAAGTATAAATCATAGATGTAGTACAAATTATACGTGGCGTAATTAAATTTTCTCCAGGAGTTGAATAATTAGCGTTTAGAAAACAGTAATACAAAAGATGAAGTTATAGGAAGTATTGAGTAAAAGCTGACGAGATATTTTACAATTTCCTTATTTATTACCTATTGATAAATGTAAATAAAGAAATCAAGTTTAAAACTGGTAATAACTAAACAAGGTACTTGGAGCCGTTAGTGATATCTGTATGCCAAATCAATTAGTATTAAAAAGTGTGTAGAAGCCGACCATTTAAATAGAAAAAAGCCAAATACACACTAAATCACTTTACGATTCGACATTAACACGTATCTACGTTGTTCGCACGGGTAATGTAATAAAACGAGCAAATGAAACGCCCGAAGCACTTTCAAATGCTGATAAGACAACTCCACCTTTTCTAAATCTACAGCGTCACAGCGGCTGTTAGAAGACAGGAGTGAGTGACGACCCTTTAAACAATAAGCGATGTCATTCGCTTTCGACGCGACAAAACTTTAATATCAATAGAACACAATAGGAACAATAGTTGTCCTGTGTCAATTATGCTATCATTACCATTGGTATAAACGACGTAACGGATCAGATGATTGTTGTAAAACAAGATGACGACGCAATGCAATGCCGAATATGCTTTTGTTTTATTTCCAAACAAATTGAACCTTTTCCAGCGCTGATAGATCTTGGAATGCTGTGAGCGTTTGAACTACAATGTATCGTTTTAGGCATAATGTAAAAGTCACCCCATAAATCATTTATTGAATGCCTTTGAAATGTTTGTGTTTTACTATACCCGATCAAGTTAATTAAGGAGCACTTCCGAAGCGCCTTTAAAATACAATTTCAATGCTTAAACCAAAAGTGAGTTTGGTGTGATATATTTAATAAAATGAATATAATGCCCTTTCAATAATCTTTTAAAATCGTCCTCCGTTATTTTCACACGTAAACACGCAAAGCCTGGGAAACCGCTCCAAGCCTTATTTGATTTTTGTTGTATGCGTTTCGCGGTGCCATATTTCGTCAACTCCTAATTAATATATCGGCGAGCAGTCATAATTATCTCTGCAGGTGGGTGTCATCCCTACGGCGTTTGCAAATCTTCATGTGGTGTGTCGTAAAAATGGCACATTCACTTTTATTGCACTCCCCAGACACGTGTAAGTAATGTGTTGTCGCGTGTTGCGTTTTTGTCAGCGGGTAATCAGCGATTTATTGAGATGCACCGATGATTATTTTATTCTCAAGCGCAGCTTCGTTATCATGCTGAATTAGTTGTCGATCATGTACCATTGTACCATGTTCATAAATATGACAAAGACGTAAATACATACTTTTAAGTGACATTTTCGATTTCGATAGACTCGGTTACAGTTTATTGATAAAATCAAGATAGATAAATCTCTAAACGCATAAATACATTTAATTAAGATTAAACACAAATATTTCGCTTAGCGCGATATTTTAAAGAGAAAATACTTTAAATTGATCATCTCTAAGTCCAGCATATTCAAATTATCACTTAAAATTTTAATGTTATTCCCTATCAAGCGAAAAATAATTAACATCAGTTAATTATTTTATCTAATAATAATCACTAAAAGTTACATAAAGCTCTATTTGTGAGAGTTCAATAAGCAATGTACATACAAATAATTCCCTACATTAATTATCTATCTCACCTTGTTGCGAGGCACGTAACGAATAGACTCTATGACCGAGTATGGTCAGCAATATAAATAATTTTATAGACAGAATCGAATCTTTTATAACACAATACTCTTATTATTCATATCTGAACAGTATCTAAAATATTCTTGTAAAACCACGTGTTTTTGATATCTTAATATAACAATGTTTGGTATTAGATGGTTTTAATTTCGCATAGGATTTCGTGAAAAATCTAACTAGAAAATATCCATGTTTTTATTTTTAAAACCTATTTCTTTGGTCGGCCTGTAATCTTTTTGTAAAATTTACTTTATCGAATAAATTACGTATTCCATTTTTTTGCTGACCGTAGTACCTTCAGTGATATATGTAGGCGCCTGAGAGGTTGCAGATTCAGCCATGTGATTAAGAGTTACGATTGTCATTAATATCGTAATGGAATCGATTTATGTTCACAGATCATCATATCGATTTTATTGCTCTACTCGTGTTGTATTTAATTTTACCTGCCTTACAAGAGCTCGGTTTTACTCCGCCTATTAGTAATGTTTACGGTGCAAGACGATCTGTTTTAAACATGACAATTTGAAGGGATATTAACTTATGTAGCATTTAATTTTTTTATACCTAGATTAAAATAGTTATTCCAATGTGTCTTTAACTATTTCCTTTTATAAGGTATAAAGATATTGTGCCGATTCGTTTCGGCTTATTTAGGTTTTACTAACATAAGGTATCGTTATAAATGAATACAGTAGAACAGGTTTGTAGGTAAATTTTAATTAAGTTCTAATTAAGCTATTCATTAAGTTGCCATATAATTCGTTATTTCTATAAAACATCGATGTTGATTTCAAAACTTTTCAAGTCACCGTTAAATTTTAATCGATCGCAAGAAATGTTAATCAAACGCATGAATAAGAAGCTGTGCTTAATATTTACGCGCGTTTCTTGCTATACAATATTCATGAATTTATTTTAATCGGTCTCTTTTAATATATAAAGGCCACCGGCGAATTCGTTATTGAATATTTACCCCTTTTAGACACGCCTCCTGGCGCTTGCGTAGTTTTTTCTGCATGCTTCTATGTCACGTCAACACCGTCGATAAATAATATCTTCTCTACAAACCCATTATTAGGGGTGCCTGACATTTTATTTAAAGGCGATTTTAGATGAAATTGAATTTTTTTTCGTAAAAAATTTGCCCTGGGGTGCAACCGAGATGAGTTTTTAAAATTTATGTCTGTCGATTTTGGAAAATTACAGTTATTTGAAATTCTAATGGATCTCCACTTTTTAAAAGTTAAACAACGTTCGAAAATGTTTCTGGGAAAGGTGTCGCGTTTACTTTGTTTAGTTACGTAATTTGGTCTCTTGTGCATTTTCACTTTATCAAGAAACTAATTTGAAATGCTTACGTTTTGGACATCCCGTCCAAAACTTGATCCCGTCAGGTGGCTTGGCGGGCAAAGTTCATCGACCCCGGTGAGGTAGGCCGGCCGATGATTGATCAGCGCCCTTATCACTTCACTGTCGCCTACGTGCGGCGTTTTCAAAGACACATTGTCTCTAGCTGGAAGCAGGTTCCGATGCCTCCATAACCTTGATCTTCTATACATAGATTATTTCTAATGAATTTCTCTTTTGTTTCAGGCTGTGCAAGTTAAACATGTGGAAGAGAATAACATGTGAGTAACTTATTAGTTAACTTATTGCTTCATATTTCAATGCTGTTTATAAATACTTAAACCAAATCTATATAGTTAGTTTAGTAGTGTTTTTTATTATTATAAATGCTTTGTCAATATTTCTTAATAACAAACTGCGGTCCGCCTGTTGCCGTCCCCCGGCGAATAAAATTGTCGGTAAGTTTGTTTGAATTAGTTAATAAAACATGAATTTTCTTTTTAGATGGGATATTACGCAGCTTTTATTAAGAATACCTAATATAGGAGCTGTTTTAGATCTTACGAATACGGCTCGATATTATAATCCGAAGGTAAGCAATGTTGTTAAAAATAAGCTTTTGCCGTTTGATCCACATATTAGTATATCTACTCTTAGTTTTGCTTCTAACAGTCGCAGAAGATAAACAGTAGAAGATGCTTCATAACTGCCTCAGAGTAATCCCTACTTTCATTTATTTGGGCTGTGTTCGAAATTTTGTGTCATTAATGACTTTTTAACAGAATTTAATAAACAAATCAGTATTGTTTGATAATATATTAGTTCGAATATTGGAAAATCAAATAGTGTGCTAGATGCAGCTATGGTTGACAGATAAAGATGGGACGACCAACTTTATAATAATGAAACAGTATTTTGCATACTGCGGAGTGAGAAAACTTAGTTGTAGGCTCAACATAACGAGATTTAGTTGTCAGGACGGCGCGGCGCAAGCAGAACGCTGCTCAAATGTGTTAGAATACTGGGAACCTATAAAATTACGTTCAGTTTTATGATTGAAAGTCACATTTTCCGCTACGATGCTTTGTTCGTGCGAATGATTACCTTATATTCATCTTCTAGCATAATCCTATTGTAAAAGTTATGTTTTAATGAAGTATTCTAGCTTGTGATTATATTTTTATGTTTATTAATTGAGTCCCATCAATGTTTGATATAAAAATTTAGCTAAATCTGTAAGCGTTTGAATGAATTAGCTTACAATAATACTATAATACTTGATTCTAATATTGTAAATGTGAAAGTTTAGATGGATGTAGTGTTTGTAGCCCAAACTGCTGAACAGATATCGATGTAATTTGGCATAGATGTAGAGGATAGTTTCGAAGAACCCATAGGCTACTTTCTTTTATTTTTCTTAATTCCTCGCGGACGGAGTCGCGGGCGAAAGTTAACAATGTTTATTGGTGACATATTATTACGCATCAGTTCAGTCTATGATGTAAATGCATCAATCTTCGATATCTTAGTATTCGCGTTAATAGTATCCACATGATAAGTGATGTAGATGTGAATTGATAAGAGTCATATCTTTTAGTTAGTTTTATGGATCGTATGTCAACGGGCGCCGCGCCTAGCCGGTGCCGGCGCTTGGCCGCGGCTAGCTGCGCGTGTCGCCACCACTCGCCGCTCGCCGCTGATTGGCGCTGTCAACTTGAATTACACGCGCGTTTCACGAATTGATACACACTCCACTCAATTAAATTGGTGACTCGTGGCGGCTAATAGAAGGGTTACGTGATTTTTATAAATGATAGATGTGATTTGTTCTGACGGTCATTTCTTGATTCTGTTCTCGTTGGTTGATTACCATGATTTATTTCTCACATCCTCGTGGTCATTTCGATTA